GTAATCAATAAAGTTCTCCTTTTTGACTGGTGTGGGAGACTTATTGAGGGGTGGGTCTAAATTATGCCTAAGAGACCCCTTAGGTCTGTGGACTAAGGGAGACTATACCTTTTTGCCCCCGGACTTGGGGAAGTACCCCAAGTGCCTGTACTGGGTTGAGTACCCGTGGGACTTTAGGCCTGTGTTACCCCAAGGACACAGGGCCACGAGACAGTCCATTCTTGGGGTGGTGGCGGCACGTTACCCCCAGACTAGCGAGTGTGTTCCGGGAGAGGGGTCGGCAGGACATAAGGCGTCCCTAGGGAGGCATTCGGAGCCTGGAAGGTGGTCGGGCGCAGGGAGGTGGGCGGCTCAACGCAGGAGCACCCCCTACTGGCCCACCTCATGTGGTGGGAACAGTGGAGGGATACGAATACCCAGCTGTGTTCCTGAGGTGGGATCTCTGCACCCGCCACACAGGTACAGCTCAGCTCATTTCAAACTAAGCTATGAAACTTCTTGAGTTATGAAAAAGCAGTCACGTTTAGAAGGGTAAATATTACATAGCCTAACTGTAGCCACATACATGCTCCTATCAAATATCTGCTAATTTTTTACGGTTCCTTGTGGGGTGAGGGGAAGAGGGTGGCTACTGTTGGCCAAAATCCAAGGTAAGCCAAAGAAATTAAAATGACTGGTTCACTAGTACAAAAATGTAGTTTAAATTCAATGTGCACATGTGACTGCATATCATTGTAAGAGACTTGTTTGTCCACTAGGTATGTTACTACCTCACTTTCCCCTCTCTCTGGTTCTCAACCAGACAATTCACTGAAGTCCTTCCATAGATAAGGAAAGTCCAATGACACAGGTCCACAGCCCGCATCTATATTTGACCTCCACCCAGGCCCTAGCAGATTTGCAGGCATTGATGAAGTCATTCCCCATTCTTGCAGGAATGTGACCAGACTACTTCTCAGTGGCCACAGAGAAGTCTGGGTGACTACCATCTGCCAGGTGTGCCAGTCCAGGGTCCCTAGACTGAGAAGCAGCCATTTGTTCCATACTGAGCTTTGCCTGCTTCACTCTATTCCTGTCTTTCTACCTCTTAGACATTCTTCTCAGATCTTCTACATGCTGCTAAAGCACAGCCTTTATTGGGCTCCCTCTGTACTTGGAGCCTGCTGTGGCCAAGGCCTGGATCTTGATCATTCAAGACTCCGGTTGCTGCTTCTCTAAGTGGAGTAAGGAGGACTCCCATTGTGTATATCCTTATCCTTCTTCAGCTTTGTCATTCCTAATCTACTATTCCCATTCTCCATCTAGGTACAACAACCTTAAGAGTATTTGGACTTTAAAGGGAAGATGCAGAAACAAATTGCTTTGTCTGTGGCCAAAAGTAACCACAGTCTTTGTCAATGCTCAGAGGTAGTCAATAACAGCAGCAACAAGAAAGGAGTGCAGATCAAATTCTTACCAGGCATGCACACATGGAATTCAGAGCCTGCTTAACCTTTAGCTTCAGTATTACAAAAACACTGACCCAAGTGAAAGGCACTTTGTGTGTAAGGAGGATATGCCCTTCTGTGCGTAAGAACAAATCATTCAAGTGTGGCTGCAGCAAGAGTGCTGTTTCAGTGGATGGTTTCTGCCTATGCTGTGCATGGGGCTGAATTTTAAATATGATGTGCACAGTAGCATAATAGTCTTCAGTATAAAACTGATGTTATAGCAGGTCAGCAGATTTTAGCATTGCATTAGAGTTCTGGAAAGGATTTGAAATGGAAATGATGCACAGCCAGTCAGTCAAGGATTATTTCCAAAGTGACTTAAATTGTCTTTGGAATCCTTATTTCAAAAGGAACCAAACCACTAGAGATTGAGGCATATCATTGTACTAACTCTAAGTAGTGATGTCTTTCCATTATCCACAATTCCTTTTTTGGTGAACTGTAATGCTTTTTACTTAGTCTCTAGACCTGGTGATCAGTTGTAGTAACAATAGAAGCAAATAAAAGTGGGGTACAAGCAGACTGCCACCCCCTGGCCAGGAGTAGTTGTTCTCAACCTTGACTTGAGGTGCTTCTCCATACCTTCTGTGAATTAAGCAGCACCCAGTTGCCAAAACTAATTCATATATTACCTCCTGGCAGAGGAGCCAGGCAGTATGGGTGAGGGACTGTCCAAACAGGGACAAGTGTATCTGCTTATCTCCTCTCACCTTGTGGCACCTTTCAAAGGACCTGGGGGCACCCTGGTTGAGTATCACTGACGTAAAGATTGAGCAGGGATCCAAAATATCTGGAAGTGGTGGAGGAGAATGTCCCCTTCCTTCCTGTTGTGCATACTGGATGATACTGAAGAGGAACAAAAGAGCATGCTCTCTCTCTCACCACTTTCATAAAGCTACTTCAATTTTATACTGGCATCTACCATTCACTTTCTGACTCTAGAAATTGCAAAAGTTCATTCCCACCAGCTTTATTGGCTCTTGGTAGAATACTGTACTGTAACCATTCTCCTTGGATAGAAGAACAGACACCTATTTTTAGCCCATCTCTAGTCATCCTTTCACAAATGTAATGTATTACAATCAAGGTTCCTAGCATATAACAGTAAAACTGTCATAATATGAAGCTTCAATAATTAATCTTTGATGCAGGAGCTGGGAGTGAGCACAAATGCAAACTACAAGATAACCTTCATGTTGGACAGTGCCGCCATGATAACAGTGCACACTCCAAGGAGAGGGCTAATTGACGTAAGGACCTTTTTTATTTTCCCCCATAGGCTAACAGTTTTTTAGTAAGAATAAGTGTATGAAAGAGGGCATACACACACTTTTTTAGGATGAGATATTTTCCTTAACCAAACCAAAGATATAACCAAACCAAGCAACATATAGGACTATTGGGAGAATGTTCATCTGTCTTATGTGATAGATGTATTGGATCTGTTGTTATTTTTAATATATGTTTAATGATGAGTAATTTATGAGGTGCTATCATGAAGAACATGGGCTGTACACACCTATTAATTCCTTGACAAAAAGATCCAAACATTTAGTGCAGTCAAGTTGCAGTACTTAGGTTCTCTATCTTGCAACCTTTAAATCATGAATTTAAATCTCAAAACACCTGCACACTTATTTTTGCAGGTGAAGCCCCTTGGTGTCATATGGGGAAAATTTTCAGAGTATTACAGCAGGAAAAATACTATCATGTTTGATGATATTGGACGAAACTTTCTAATGAACCCACAGAATGGATTAAAGGTAATTTTCAGTTATATTCTTAGGAAAATATATGGTCTCTACCATAGCTCCTTTCTATTTTAAGACATCTTCTCTAATGAGCTGTAGAGTAATAAGAATACATGCTTAAGAATAAGTACAGAGAAAAATCATTAATTTGGACTAGATATTCTTTTTCTAGTAACACTGGAGATGTGCTGAACTGCGTTTTGATTCACTATTAAGAAAAGTCCCATTTATAGGTTAGTAAAAGGAAGACTGAAATTACTACTGATACCTAAATTGCCCTCACGTTCAGGTTCCAACCGGGCTGAGCCCTGTAGAGCTAGGTGCTGTACAAATCTAAATAAGACTCTAAAAAATATGCTAATGGCCAGAAAATGTCTCCAGAAAATATCTTACTGCTATGCCTTATGGGTAACAAAAATCCTGCTCCTGTGAAATCCTTGATGCTACTTAGCCAACTACAAAGGAGAAAGAGTACAGTTTAAGTAAAGTATGCTTTTTTTGTTAAAAAAAAAGACATGTTTGAAAATATAGGACTGTAAGATATGTTCTACAATTATCAGTTATTGCATTCTTTAGTAACAGATGCTTTTCTGTCATCCCACCAATAAGAAATATGTCCTAGGAGCAAGGAAATATCAGTGCTATTCTTGGGAAGGGATTGCCAAGATTTTTTTCACAGGAGTATTCAGAAACAGCAGTGGGAAGGAGTGTTGAGTGGCTAAAATAAGACACAGGTATAATGTATTCCAAGATAAAGGGAGTTGTCAGGAAAGCTATATCTCTGTCCTCATTTGCCCAAGAAATTATCATGTCAGGAAAATGTTGGAAAAGTCATCTGGTTCAGATGATACCACAACGCCCATGAAACAGAGCTGAAGACTACACACATCCCCTGTTGTAGAATCCATCAAGTTGCATTGAAAACTATGACAAGACCACTGCACGTCACTTTAAAGCTCTGCCTAATGAAAGGGAAATTTGATGAAGCATGAGACTGACAACAGTATTGTCACCCCCTCAAGGGGTACAGCACAAACATGTTACAGCCCAGGTTATATTAACAGCAAGATTCCTTGGAGGTGGCTGAGTGGGAAGGATGTTGGAGGAGAGACAGGAGAGATCAAATGCTCAACCCAGAGCAAAAGAATGTAATCAGGCAGTCAACAGAAGTTTTACCAAAGCGTATGATACATGCCAATAGCAAGGTAATGGATGGGCAACCCGGTTCCTTTTTAAATCGCTACCCTCCAGTTAAGTAATTTTCTGTTTCAATTTTTTTTTTAAAGACATGCTGGTGCAGCTAACATTAAACATCACTGTGACGAGCTGTGTACATTCCTTCTTTGCAGTTAACTGCACTTCATGTATTTGTCATGTTAAACATGTCCCGTGCCCAGTTTCTGTTCCATTGGAGGTAGCAAATTTCAGAGAGACATTGAAAAAATAAGTCTAGTGTTTCATTTTGCGGAGTGCAAGCTTCCAGATTTTAAATCCAGCATGCACGCCACGTAACAAGAGTTGAGTGAACTCTAGTTTCGGGTTTAGTCTACAAATGCTAAGTAGTGGAAAGATTAGTTGTGGTAAGTGCCCTTCTTGGCCCCTTTTTGCAAAAGAGGCAACAAGAAATATATTCTGTACTGGTACAGAAGCAACTGGATACTTTAAGAGATGAGGACTTTCTTAGTTCTCAAGAGCTGTGATCTTACCTAATTCTATGTAAGTACCAGAAAAGATATAATTCATATATCTGCATGTTTTGGCATAGGTTTCTCTAATTTTTCTTTACACAAGTGAGTAGTAGAAACACCTAGTTTACTTTGCATAGTACTGAACAGAAAACATTAGCATCTGAAGTGGCATGTTCCTTTTAAACAGATACTCTTATCATTTTCTCAATAGATAAGGCCTTTTATGAAAGCGCATTTAAATCGGGATAAAGACAAGGAGCTTCTAAAGCTTACTCAGTACCTCAAAGAAATAGCAAAATTAGATGACTTTTTGGATCTGAATCACAAGCACTGGGAAAGGTAAGGATTAAGTTTCTGTTTCATCCATTGCTCCCTACTCCTCCCACTATATTGTGCTGATGTAATTAGTTCAAGGAAATGACTGCACCATGGAACCTCACCACGATTTCCCCTTGATGATGGGTCACTGGTTTCTTGATGGAATTTAGGTAAAAGAGTCAAGCTGTAATGTGCTTTGGGGTCTGGGATCCAACAGCCTGAGTGCAAACTCTTCCCACACCTTCTGGGGAATACCAGCTCTGTAGTTTACATAAGGGTGGAGTGGGGGAGGCTGCCTCGAAGTTGTGTTCCCAGAGTGCTCCTGCTCAGTCCCTTCCTTTTCCATCCTGATGCTGACAAGGCTTAGGTTTGTTAATCTGGGCATGCTCCCAGCCTCTCTTTTTATCTTCTTGAAAAAAAAAAAAAAAAATTTAGATCTAGGATGCTTGAATATGGGGCACTTCATATAATGGGTTTCTGAATTTTTTAACCGGAGCCTATGCTGTAGTGAGAAGTTAGGCTATGAAGCAGGTTTGGGTAGCAAAGTGTTTTATATTAAGGCTCATCTTCCTTAAGTAAGTCAGGCAAGGCACCTAGTGAGCAAGTCTGGCATCTAGCCCTATTGTACCTTTAAAAGTCTTCTCCATAACATTTTTTTCTATTGCCTGTGGCTTGGATAGGTACTGCTTATCCCATGAAATACATAAACATTATTCAATGTGCTTTTGTGAAAATGTTTGCTCAACGACTCAGACGAGCAGCACCAGAGGTTTGCTAGTTAGACTGGAAAGCCACAGGCCAAGTTACATCAAATGTACTTTGGAATTCTCTGGATGTTACTGCAAAGGGCACGTTAAGGTATTTTGATAGACACAAAAGCTTTTGATGCTTCTGCAGTGAGAGACCTCTCTCAACTGGAGTAGGAGAAAGCTGAAGTTGGATAATGAGACTTTGGCTTTGTTACAGAGACAAGGCTTAGCAGTAGTGCCCTCCAGCAAAGCTCTCCTCTTTAAAAGACATCTTAATTCAGTCTTCAGCATTTCTTTGGAAGCATCAGGTGCCTAGCATCAGACTGTTTTACTCTCACTTATTTCTTCCTTTCAGGTACCTTTCAAAGAAGCAAGGACAATAGCTTTAATAAACTCCTGTGGCAATGAATTGAAGGGAACATAATGGAGATCTTCAGACCTTTCCTTGCTTTTATGCTAGAGTATACTAGTGCTGGACACTGAATCAGATGCCAGAATGACTGCTTATACTTGGTCTTCCAGTTGGTTTGTGAGTCTTATTTTTTTAAGATCACAGCAATAAGCTCAAATTGGGAGAAATAGGCCAGTTGCTTTCCCCCCACCCTTGCATTTACTTTTGGTATGACTAAATCATTTTCTCTTTCATTACTACTGTAATACCACCATGACTATTAAAGACCAAAAATCATTCTAAAACTGGTAACAATATTTTGTTTAGACCAAAAAAGTTGAATAAGGTGCCAGCCTTGGCAGCCTATATATAAGTCGCCTCTTCTCTCTGTCTTATAAACAATCTCCTACTTCTATTCCAGATTTAAGTCTATGAACTACAAGCTCTCTAAATTTGACATGCATTTTCACGATGTCAGTGTTCCTTTGTGCAAGGCAGAATAAGATTGGAAATTGCCACCTCTAAGGCAAACGTACTCTAGTTTGCAAATTTTGTATTATAAAGCAGTGGTTTACTGGAATAAACACACTGAAGGGAGAAAAGTCCTGTTTGATGGTAAGTCAAAAGCAGTACGTCTAAAGAAGAAATATTCTCATAACCCAATAAAGAATTGAACCTCAAATGAGGTGACGTTCTTAATAAAGCATGAGCAAAACCCCCTTGTTAAATCTTGTTAGAGTGCAAACACTGTGTTTTGAATTACAATATTCAGCCATACTGTTAAAGCATTATTTACTTGCGCTGCTTCAGCCTGCACTATAGAAGTGTGATGTGACTGCTGTTTTGCATTACCAACGGTCTGGGATTGTTCAGTTCTGATATTTGACAGAAGACTGACCCGTTCAAATAAGGATGGTGTATATTGTTCTTAAGGAACTATAGCAGTTGTGTAAATAATAAATACCTTTTTCTTAGTGTTTGTGTCCTATGTTGTCTTAAACTTCTGTTTTGACATCACAAGCAAGGCAGCTGTCCACGTGGTGACTTCCCAACCTTCATTTATCACAACTCTGTTATATTAAACAGAGTTGTGTTTTAAACAGAATTGTTCTTGCCTGGTTTCCACTTTAGAGTGGCCCAGTCAAATCTTTGAGAAACTTTCAGGTAAAGCAGGGGAAAAGCAAATTGCAAATAACAGTACTTGAGCCCAAATCCTGGATCTGCTGATCTGTAACTTGTGCTGCTTGAGAAACTTACTGTTAAAGGGATTATTCAGTATTAAGTTTTTCTTGTATAATGCCAAAGAGGGGAAATGACCTATCCAAGTCATGCTTCCAAAATATCCACTTTGTAACCACCCAGTATTTCTGTGACACAAACAATTCAAATTAGCAGTGGTTGCAAGTCCTTTTCTTCTTTTTTCTTTTCCACTGTAGCACAGTGCATTTGTAGTATGGAGACCATGACTCTGTACCTCTTAAATTCTGTGTTATGACATTAGATGGATTGGGGCTTGTTTATTTGTGTTAGTCCAGTAGAGTACTATAAAAAATAGTCTCGGGGACTGAGGGACAGCAGGCAAAACTGCAATCAGATACACTAATGTTAATAGTCTGTCATTTAAACACCATATTGAAATTCAGTGAATCCTTTTAAGTGTTACATATGTTACAAATACTTAGATTTGGTTAGGGGAACTCACTTTCACCCTGGCAGTCTTCACTGTCATGTCGCTGTGCCCGACAACTTTTTGGTTACAGTGACTAGTCCTAGTCTCTGTCTCTCACTTGCCTTTCCTTAGTGCTCATGCACAGTTCTTTAAAACCTGTATTAAAGAAGTGACACTTATGTTTTCCTTATTTAAGGAGACCCATTCACTTCTGTAATTGAATAATTCTGCCATGGCTCACACAAGACTTTTGCATCTTTTTTTGTTTAAAAATGTTTAAGTTATTACCCAGGCCTGTTCTGGACATTCAAGCATCCATTTTAAAACTAGTTCTCCAAACTTAGCAGGATATGTAGCACTCGTTGACTGTTTGCACATTAGGGTGTCTTTTGTTTTTCTTTTTTAAATACCTCTTTCTTTAAAGCAGGAAAGTATACTCACCTCACCCCCTCCCCATATTTCAGGACCTGCCAAACTAACTAAAGTCATTGCTGGGTATCAATTAAAAAACATCAGCACAGGGGATGAATTCTTAAGAAATTTGCTTGCCATAAGACAGCTTTGAGGTAAACAGACCGCTCTAATTTTTATTTGCACAAAATGAACTTTTCCAACCAGGAGATCCTGCAACACCTTCATCTCTCCTGTGAAATATGAATTTTCATCTCCACCTAGGAGAAATTTTATAAGTCTTTGCATTCGCCTATGCCCAAAGAAGAGTGTGTGTGGCAAAAAGCTTGCAAATAAAGAATTATTTTGCAAATACCTAGTTGGCCTAATAAAAGGTACCACCTCTACTAAGAGTTCTGTTTCCTTAAGAAAGAAAGAGCTTTAGATATCCTTTGCAAAGCCAAGTGCTGCTAATCATTTCAGTAAGATCAGTCTGAGGAATTAACATTTGACTTGAATAGAGCTCAAGCTATTAGCCCAATATGCTTCCTCCACATGCTTCCCAGTATGAAGTCTGAGAATACGGTATGAGTTAAGTAACACAAAAGCAAAAATTTACTATTAAACTTTAAATGTATACACATGAATGGCAGCTGTTTGTATCCTTAGCAAGGTTTTTGTTTCTTTTAATGGTTCAAAACAGCAATGTTTTCCTCGCCAGCGTAATGTAATACTGCATGTGGGTGGAAGGGTTCCAAGGGTGGAATCGACTATAAGGTCATTTAATACTGACTTATTTGTACCGAATTTTAGTTGCATACTCATTACACGTAGATGATTTAGAAATAAAATATTGATCTTTTATGAATAGCCATTAACATTTTTCATTTTTCCATTATATAGTGATCAAGCAGAAGAGATTTGGCCACATTCATCTAATTGTCCTGTAGGATAGATCAGGGGTGAGCAACCTGCTCCACAAGTGGCTTGGGCAGCCTGTGTGCATGATACATGGCAGGTCAGTGAGGGGACAAGTAGCACAGTAGCAGATAGGGTTGGAAGCAAGAAACAGAGCAGGCAGGAAACAGAAACCAGACTGAGTGAGGGAAGGGGATTGGAGTTACCCTTGGAAAGGGTACAGGGCTAATTTGTCATGCCTGCCAAAAAGGTTGGCCTACACTACAATAGATACTGCATCCATCACACACAGTAACGTGTTCACATTTGAAATAGGAGCTGGCCGTGTGCTGTTTCAGATGAGGCACGTGTTGAGTGGGATACTGAAGTGTTCAGCAGCCCTGAGAGAACCTGACAGACAGTGTCAGAGTGTCAAGGCAGCAGTCACAAATGAACCATTAAGACAAACACAATATGCCATGGCTGAATGACTTGTCAGAAAAGACAGTTTCCTATCTACTGCTCTTTCTGGTTGGGTGCAGACCTGACTTGCGTTTTAAACCAGTGGAACAGAAATCAAATGAATGCTGGTTTTCGCCTTGGGTAGATGGAAAGGTGCTTTAGATTTGTCTCCCATGGTTTTCCAAGCCAGGTGCTTCCCAACTGGCTTACAAACTCAGCCCCAGCATGGAAAAGTACCTAATGACAGGAATCCTGAAGTTACAGGAAGCTTTAAAACTGATCCTTTAATTGGTTAGGTTGCAGTGGCATAATGTTAGAGCAGCCATCCAACCACTTCACGTGATGTGTTTCACCCAAGAGGATCCTAAGGCAGTTTACACACCTAACCAATCCATCTGTAATATAGCAACCAGGTGAAAAAAAATCCAAAAATAAGACAGAGGAATGTCTGTTTAAGTACGTGATTGTAGCTTGCTGCTCAAAAATTCCTAACTGTGCACTAGATAGCTTGTATCCTCGGCTCCTATTATACACAGGAAACTTAAAAAGAAATCCAGGCCCCATCGCAGTCAATTTGCATTTTGTTACTGGCTTCAGTGCAGCTAGGCTTGCAGCCTAGATCCTTAACCAAGGTACCCCTTCTCTTGCAAACTGGGCTGTAACATATGTAATAGGACAACTTGAGCATAAGAACAAACATATCCCAAAGTGACCTATATAGGCAAGTGCTACATTCCTAGCCATTTAAACACTGGCCCTGAGCACCTGACCCAGCATCACTGGTGTAATATGCATCAGTTCCATCTACCAAATGTACATTACCCTGGGATTTAAAGTGGACGGCTGGCTTTCTGATTATGGCTGCTTATAATAGAGCCAATCTGTCCACAAATGATGTCTTTTCAAGCACCGAATGTCTAGTGCCTGACTGCAGCATGAATGCTTTGACTTGAAATCACTCGAAGTGACAGCTGAAGCCAGGTTTGAGCTGCCAGTTCAGCACTGCAAATCTCACTGCATCGCCGTGTGAAATCTACAGCCGCTTGTCAGCGTCTCCTTTCATTTCTGATTTGATATGCAGCTGACAGGGACTAGATGTCAAAGGATTTAAGATGAATTCCCGCTCTACCTATCTGGCATGCACCTGAAGAGTGACAAGAATTTCTGAATCCTTGTCCCATCCCAGTAAGTTATAGCCCAGGCAGAAACCTGCCTCCAGAAGGGAAAAAAAAGCAGAGTTTATCAATTCATTTAAGCTACTGTAACCAGACATGAGCAGAAGGTTCTGAATGGGCACAGCTTACTGTGGCAGATCCCTATCAGTGTTGCCAAAATCATGACATGAAGAGTGGTCACTCCTCTGGGTGACCACTCTTCATTTAATTAAATACAAGTTCCCCAGTTAGCACATGGAGGGAAGAGGAGCAGCATCGAGAGGGATCTGTGGAGGTTAGCAGAAAGGAGGATGTTTGGCATCTCTGCTAGGGTAGACTTAATTGAGGAATCCCTCTCCAAGAAGCAGCCGTCCTTGTGGAAGAAAGAAGGTGACATGACTGCCAAGTGCAGCATTAGAGGGAATCATTGCTAGGATCATGTGCCCCATTCTGATGTTCACTCTTCAAAAAGGGGAATGGACTTAACTGAAAAGGGTCTAGATGAGAGCGACAAAAATGATCTGAGGTCCAGAGGACCTGCCTCTCAGGAGTGGCCTTAACAAGCTCAATCTATTTAGATCAATTCAGCAAAGGTGGCTTGATCATAGTCTGGTGATCTGGGATCCTGACTCCCAGCCCTGGTGCCTTCTATTGGAATACCCTTCTTTCCTTGGCATTATCTTCTTGCTTCCTGAAAATCCTATCTGATCTGTCACTTGCCCCTCACATACACATTTAGAACAAGGCCTAATGGTAGATAGCCTGGACATGAACTGCTAAATGCAGCTGATTTCCCTTTTACATCCCTGAGCTTCATTGTTTCATGCTTATTTACACTGTGTTCAGCTCTGAAAATACACAAATTTTGCTTTGATGCCCTGCAGACACTTGGATATGAATTTAGTTCTCATGAGTCTGTACAGATCTGGTGTTCCCCACACCTTTCTCTCTCTCTCTCTCTCTCTCCCTCCTGTGCCATCAATCACTGGCTTCCTGTCTTTCCCTTCTAAGAAAGAACTCCAGCACCAATTAATTTTCTTTTGGACAATTATCAGGTGCAAGTCAATAGGAAGCGTGTGCCTGGATTGCGTAATGTTCCCAGTAATACTCCTGGTGCAGTGGGCACAGGATCATGAACATGTTGTAATTGAAAGATAATTATTTCCTTTCTTCCCAGGAATTTATTTGGAGTTCTCAGAGCATCCGTTAACACAACACCAAGAGTTTTCTCACTGCATGTGCATTAGGAAATAGCTTAGTGATGGGGGCCTCTTCCAGCTCTCAACTATCCCTCAGCACAGTGAAAGCACAAGCCAGTCAGAAAAGGGCACAAGGGACTCAACCACATTTCTAACTGTATGATGTTGTAATCTAGCCAAAGTCTAAAGCTAAAATTTCTAAAA